GGAAGCAGCTTTCCATAAGGCACACCCACCTGTATGCCATATCCATTTACCATTGCCATGGCAACACCTGGACATTATAAGGCCTTTCCATGGCAACGACCTGATGACCTGGAAGTTACCACCCTCATCCTAGGCATTTCTGCATAAACCACCCCTTAATTTGCATATAATTAAAATAGGTAGAAATACGGGTGCAGAATCACCTCTGAACTGCTTCTCTGGGCACACTGCCTGTGGGGAAACCCTGCTCCACAAGGAGTTGTACCTTTCCTGCTGCTGTACACTGCCAAGTTACTGTTTAATTCACTGGCTCACCCATGAATTCTTTCCCAGGCAAAGCCAAGAACCCTCCTGGGCTAAGCCTCAATGTTGGGGCTTGCCTGTTCTGCTTCAGTATTATGTTTGATCATTTGATTAAGAAGGTGTTGGCCACGATTCTCCACTGTAGAGTGACTGTTTTACTCTATGGAATTAATGTTTTAATTACCTGAAAACAGGAGTTTTTGAAGAGGTAAAGTAAACCTATGTAAATGTCTGTTCCCCATCTTTCAATTAATTCACACATTTCTTTATACCAAATATGGACTCATGGATTCCTGTTTTATCTAATGAGTTATAATTTGTTACAATTTTTTTTTGAGACAAATTCTCACTCTGTGTCACCCAGGTTGGAGTGCAGTGGTGCAATCTCGGCTCACTGCAACCTCCACCTCCTGGGTTCAAGTGATTCCCCTGCCTCAGCCTCTAGAGTACCTGGAACTACAGGCACATGCCACCACAGCCAGCTAATTTTTGTATTTTTAGTAGAGACAGGGTTTCACCATATTGGCCAAGCTGGTCTCAACCTCCTGGCCTCAAGTGATCTGCCCGCCTTGGCCTCCCAAACTGCTGGGATTATGGGCATGAGCCACTGTGTCCGGCCACAAGTTGTTACGATTACTATTAATTTGGATGTCACTTGTCCCAGATTTGGCTGGGGGAGCCCATTCCAGGTGGATCCTATGCCCCTTTAACAGAGCCCCATCATTATTTGGGGACTTCCTTATTTCCTTGCGCAAAACTTTTTGGCTCACTTTGTACATCCCCTGCCCCAGTCCTCAAATCATTGATTTTGTCAAAAAGCCTCGGGTTTTTTTTTTTTGGTTGAGAATGGTTTTCAGAAAGCAAGATTGAGTCTTTAGCTGTGCTCAGTACCATTGGAGTATTGACATTCTCAAGTCTTGTCAGAGGGCAGAACTAGAAATTACGTGTATGCGTATATATATATCTACAAGTATATGCACATATTCATAGATCTATACATAGTTATATGGGCAGAACTAGAAATTACATGTATGTGTTTATATATCTACAATTATATACATATATTCATGGATATATACACAGGTATATATAAATATACATATAAATACACATAGTACATGTATATCTATCTATCTTTCTATAAAGCCATGAATTCACACCAATAGGCACCTCAAGAAGGGGTATGATGTAGAGTGAGGCAATTCTTGACAGCTGAGGCAATTCCTAAAGAAGTGGACAACTGCAATGTATCTGCTAACAGCACTCTTCACAGCTGGGGCTACAGGTTTTTCACTGAAGGTTACCTGGGTGTGCATCTTAGTTTTCTGACCCTATTGTTTCTGACGAGAAGTCTGTCATCACTTGTGTTATTGTTTACATAGTGTATAGAGGTGGGATTTTTTTGGTTGTTTTTTTTGTTTGCCTGGCTTCTTTCTTTTTTTCTTTGTAATTCAACAGTCTACCATGTCCTTAGTGTAATTTTCCTTGCATTTCTTCTGCTGTGGTTAACTAAACTTTTGGATCTGTAAGTTTATGTTTTTACTAAATCTGAGAGACTTTGGCCATTATTTCTTCAAATATATTTTTCTTCCCTCTTTTCTAATTCTGGCAGTCCAATTTCATGTGTTGACTGCTTGGTATTTCTTAGAGTTCCCTGAATATCTATTCATATATCTTCTATCTTTTCCTGCTCTTTTCTTGAATTTGGATAATTTCCATTCATTATTTTCAAGTTCACTGCCTCTTGTGCCACCTCCAGTCTGCCATCAAATATGTCCAATAAATTTTTCATTTTATTTACTGTATTTTTCATCTAAATTTTTCATGTGTATCTTTCCATTGTTTCCATTTTGCTGCTAAGATTCTCCATCTGTTAATTTACTATGTATATTTTCCTGTAAGTCTTTAAGCAGTCTTATAATAGCTGCCTTAAAATTCTTGTTTGCTAATTACCACCTAAGGTTTGGTTCTCATTGACTGGGGTTTTTTTCTGTTGCATATGTATCACATTTGCTTGTTTCTTATGTGTTTAGTCATTTCCTATTATATACTAGACATAATGAATGATCCATTGCAGAGAGTCTGGATTCTGTTACATTGCTAAGAAGAGTGTTGATTTCCGTTCTAGTAGAGAATTAACTTTAATTTGCATATTTCCGTTTTCAGACAGGAATTTGAGCAATGTATATGCAGATTTGGGGGCTGATTACTCTATGCAGCCCTCCCTTCTAAAATTATCCCCAACTTCCTCACTGCTTTTCAATCCTGAATACTGAACTCTGACACCACAGTCCAGTAAGGCTGCAACTTTCTTTATTCTGAGCCACCTATTGGATTAGTGAACATCTCAGGGCAAAAACTACAAACTCAAAAATCACACGGGTATAGTTCCAACCCTTTAAGGGTAGACTTGTCTTCAATTTTTGCCTGCTTTCAGTCTCTGTCTGGTGTCTTCAGATAGGTGATTTTTGATATATTTACCAGACTTTATCATTATTATCTATGGAAAAGTTAGTCCCACCAAGTTACATAACTGTTACCAGAAGCCAAATTTCCTGGTATTGTATTTTGCTCCATATTGGAATCATGTCCCCTACCTCTACCTAATTTTTCTTTGTGTTAGAGCAGCAGTTCTGTTCAAATGTTCATATTCCCACCTATCTTTGGGGGTAAGTCCTGATTAAGCTGTCGGTTGTTACAATTTATTTCCCTTGCATCAGTCACTTTTAGGAAGGTTCATATGTTAATCAGAAAACCAGAAGCTACTCTATGTAGTGAGATGTTAAGGGTTTTAATATAGGGAATTGGTGGTTCCCGTCCTCTCCCCCACCATAGGACAGACACCCCCAAGAAAAACCTAAACAAGCATTGGTCACAGAAGCTATGATATGGTTTGGATTTGTGTCCCCCCTAAATTTCATGTCAAATTGTAGGACAGACCTGGTGGGGAGATAACTGGGTCATGGGGGCAGACATTTCCCTTGCTGTCCTTATGATAGTGAGTTAGTTCTTATGAGATCTGGTTGTTTAAAAGTGTGTAGTACCTTTCCCTTCGCTCTCTTCCTCCTGTTTCAGCCATATAAGGAGTGCCTGGTTCCCCTTCCACCATGATTGTAAGTTTCCTGAGGCCTTCCCAGCCAAGCTTCCTGTACACCCTATGGAACTGTGAGCCAATTAAACCTCTTTTTCTTAAAAAAAATAAATTACCCAGTCTCAGGTAGTTCTTTATAGCAAGAAAGGACGAATACACTACCACTGACTTTCTCAACCTGAAGCACTCAAGCAAGTGGTTCTTAAAACTCACCTTGAAGTTTTTAGCAGTATCACACCCATTGATACTTGTGAATGCAACTGAGTCTAGAGAATGATTTCTTCATTGCTATGGCACAAGGTGCCTTTCATTGTTACATTCTACCCTGGAGCCATATGACGAAGGGGATTCTGGCAAAGATAGTTCCAGGCTTCTCTTCTTCAAAGCAGAGGAGACCTTAGAAGGGGTAGTGTTGATACCGAATTGACAACAGATGATCCAGCACAGGGCATGGGACCTACATTAGCCAAAGGAACGTGAGGGGGAGGGAGCTGAAGAGATTCCGGAAAAGACTTAGTTGCTGAACAATACAAAAAGACTCAGCCCTGTTTAGCTTTTAAATAATGGTTTAGTCATATGATGTTACACTGCTGTAGTTTCAATATCTGCTAAGAATTGGGGTGCGAGTCCTTTTTTCTTTTTTTCTAAGAATGATCAGGATTGAAGATAAGAAAGTGAGTTAGCCACATCAGAAGACTGTATTTATCACTTTGAATGTTCACTTTTCTACTCAAATGGTATTAGATTTTTCAAGAAAAAAAATCACGAGCTTTTGAACACTTTTGCAATGCCTCCTGCTATCACTCTTTAAATTTTCCTAGTCAATGTAGTTACATTTTATTGTAGTATCTATGGTCTTTACGTTTTCTCAATTTGGCAATATAGATTTCCTTCCAATTTTAAAACATTCACTGGCCACGGTGGCTCACACCTATAATCCTAGCACTTTGGGAAGCCAAAGCTGGTGGATCACTTGAGGTCAGGAGTTCAAGACGAGCCTGGCCAGCGTAGTGAAACCCTGTCTCTAATAAAAACACAAAAATAAGCTGGGTATGGTGGTATGTGCCTGTAGTCCCAGCTACTCAGGAAATTGAGGCAGGAAAATCACTTGAACCTGGGAGGTGGAGGTTGCAGTAAGCTGAGATGGCACCACTGCACTGGAGACAGTGTGAGAATGAGAGGCTGTTTGGTCCCCTCAGTGAGTCCAGACTAAGGAGTGTGCTAGTTCAGTTCGACAGCAGTCACCGTGGTGCTGGAAGCACACAGCCGTTCCCCATTGCCTGAAATCATATGGGGCCGTGAATAAGGAGTTTGGGTCAATGATGAGATGGAGCCTGAGTGAACTTGGAGCATCTCAGATATCAGAGCAGAGAAACAAGGAGAGGCATTTGGGGTGTGTTCAGAGAAGTGGGGCACCGTGGGGCTTCAGGACGAAGGTTCAGGCAGGAGCAGGTGAGGGACTAGCCTGCTGTTGTTTTCACTGAAGAATTCCAAAAAGTATTTTGAACCTTCAACTCTCTGAAAAGAGTGCTGTGCTACTGAAATATGACTGCAGGGTTAAAGCAAGACTGTTAAACGTCATCGAGGAAAATAAACCTAGACTCACCAGACCTGGCGCCCTCTTCCTGCACATTCCCTCTCCACCTGCAAACACCGACCTGTCTGAATTCCAGTCCATGTTGCTGTTAGTGTTTTTGATGTGGCGTCTGATGTGAAACACAGCAGGTCCTTCTCATCTTAACAGCCTGCTAACCTGTGCGCTGACTGAATGCTGAAGCAGCCTCTTAGATACCCTCATTTCCTACAGGGGCTGGAGCCTAGAACAAAGTGCTGTGGACATAAGTTGGCATTGAGACTGAATTAATAAATGCAACCTCCAAATTGCTAACATTTAAAAATACTAATTAGTGGCTGGGCACAGTGGCTCACGCCTGTAATCCCAGCACTTTGGGAGGCTGAGGCGGGTGGATCACTTGAGGCCAGGAGTTCGAGACCAGCCTGACCAACATGGTGAAACCCCGTCTCTACTAAAAATACAAAAATTAGCCAGGCGTGGTGGTGCATACCTGTAGCCCCAGCTACTCCAGAGGCTGAGGCAGGAGGATCACCTGAGCCTAGGAAGCAGAGATTGCAACGAGCCAAGATCGCGCCACTGCACTCCAGCCTGGGTGACATAGCAAGACCCTGTCGAGAGAGAGAGAGAGGGAGAGAGAGAGAGAGAGAGAGAGAGAGAGAGAAAGGAAAGAAAAACACCAATTAGTATAATATGATTGCTCTCAAAAATGAAACAGAACAGAATCATAGAGATCCTCTTGCCTTGACAGTTCTCACGCAGACTCCAGACCAAGACTGAAGCGCAAAGTCAGGGAAATGTGTATGAGACTTGGGTCTCCTGAGTTAACAGTTCGGCAACCTCCACCAGCGTTAAATTAGCCATAAGAAAGTAATGAAAGTCTGCCACCATGCTCTACACATCAGGAAAAAGGACAAAATGAAATCGTATTGACAAAATATGTCCTTCTTTTCTCTAGAATTGTTCATGTGATCTTTATCCCAAACCTTCCTTGACATGATTAAACAAAGATCGAGACACAGAAAAGATTATTTGATTACCTACTCTGCTTTTGAGGCCACATGGACAATTACACATTCCCTACAGAAATATTTTCTAGGCTGGGCGCGGTGGCTCACGCCTGTAATCCCAGCACTTTGGGAGGCCGAGGAGGGTGGATCACGAGGTCAGGAGTTTGAGACCAGCCTGGCCAATGTGGTGAAATCCCATCGCTACTAAAAATACAAAAATTAGCCGGGCAGGGTGGTGGGTGCCTCTAGACCCAGCTACTCGGAAGGCTGAGGCAGGAGAATCACTTGAACCTGGGAGGTTGCAGTGAGCCAAGATTGTGCCACTGCACTTCAGCCTGGGTGACAGAGCAAGACTCTGTCATATATTTATACACACACACATATATTTTTTCTAGAGCTTTGTCTATTCCATCTCCAGGACTCTAAATGTCTTGAAGTCTTTTTCTGAGGCGCTTATTCCAGTTAGGCACATCTGAAATACCTGACAGTTTTTCTAAGACTTCTATTTCAATTTGTCTCATTTAAATTTTGCCCCATTACTCCTAGTTAGACCCTCTTCCCGTCACCGTCTTGTAGATAATTTTCATCTTCCTTTTTGGGTATAATTTAACTGTGCTTCACACATTAGCTTGAGTAGACAGTATATATGGTGTAAATTACAGAAAACAGTGATGTGTGAAGACATTCTGTGGTGAATAAATTAAGGCATTAATTTCAGACATATCAAACTAACACTTTTTAAATTTGTGGTTCCTATAATTTTCAGACCTGTTTCCAAAGTCTTTGGAATCGGGAATTAAATGAAAGAAATTTGTCTAAAACTTCTACCTCCACTTCACAGGTTGGAGATTGGTCATTCCTGATATAAATATATTCATATTTAAAAGAAAAACAATGTTAAAAGGAGAAAGTAACATGGAGGCCCTGCTCAGATTGAAGGAGATGTTGGCACACAGGTGAAAAGATTGATTTTAGCAGAGCATCAGATATAATCGCCTTAGTTGGGCAGCTGGGAGAGAAAAAAGACTGTCCATTGGGAGAGGACTTCATCATCCCCCAGGTATTCGATAATGAATCTGAATACACTGAAGGACTGAACATATTTATAAAAGGAAGGAAAGATGATGATGATGATTATTATTATTATTATTATTGAGACGTTGTCTCATTCTGTCACCAGGCTGGAGTGCAGTGGCGTGATCTTGGCTCACTGCAACCTCTGCCTCCCAGTTTCAAGCGATTCTCCCGCCTCAGCCTCCCAAACAGCTGCGATTATAGGCACACGCCACCACGCCCAGCTATTTTTTGTATTTTTAGTAGAGACGGGGTTACACCATGTTGGCCAGATTGTCTCAATTTCTTGACCTTGTGATCTGCCCACCTCGGCCTCCCAAGGTGCTGGGATTATAGGCGTGAGCCACCGCACCCGGCCATACAAAGGAAAGATTTTTAAAAAGGAGAACCTCCCTCAAATTTAACCAGAATCTCTCTGTGCAAAGGAAAAACTTCCCAGCAGAGGGTCTCCTGGGATTCTGGAATTTCTGACTTCCACACTGATAGAGAATTATAGGCACGGAGCTGCCACTGAAACACACACACACACACTACCACCACCACCACCACCACCACCACCTCCACTACACATTCTTTTACCCTAGTGATGTTACAAGAAAGGGGTCCACATCCAAACACCAAGAAAGGGTTCTTGCTTCTCACGCAAGGAAGAATTCAGGGGATTCCGTTGAGTAAAGTGAAAGTTTACTAGGAAAGTAAAGGAATAAAAGAATGGCTACTCCAGAGACAGAGCAGCCCCAGGGGCTGCTGGTTGCCTATTTCCATAGTTATTTCTCAATTATATGCTAAACAAGGGGTGGATTATTCAAGCCTTCGCCTTTTAGACCACATAGGGTAACTTCCTGACTTGCCCACAGTGTCTGTAAACTGGAGGGAGTGTAGCAGTGAGGAGGACCAGAGGTCGCTTTCACTTTTGGGGCACCTTGGACCGGCTTTTTACTGCAAACTGTTTTATCAGGAAGGTCTTTATGGCCTGTATCTTGTGCCGACCTCCTATCTCATCCTGTGACTTAGGAATCACAGGGAATGCAGCCCAGCAGGTCTCAGCCTCATTTTACCAAGCTCCCATTCAAGATGGAGTCGCTCTGGTTCACATGCCTTTATGGTGAAGGTTGGGGAAGAATCAAGTCTAACTCTGTTCTCAGTTTTTTCTTCATAGTATTTATCATTGATCCCACATTTTTACTTTATTTATTGTCTATGTCCCCTGGCTTCCCAAGTAGAATTTAAACTCCACGAGGACAGATACTGTGTTTTGTGTTGTTCACTTCTGAACCCTCCCTCCCAGGCCTAGAAGACTGCCTGGCTCATCCTGGGTAGTCAACAGATATCAGTTGAAGGAATGAACTCATTACTTGGCACTGATTCTCTATTTACAGAATCAAACAAAGATATGCATACTTCTCTGCTAAAAAGAGCTAGATAAGAAAACAAAAACTTATTATACTGTGGGAAGAAGTTCTTAAAATTCCTAATGGTAGGCTTTGAGACCATATTAATCCTTAATAAATAAAGCAGGAAGCAGCTCAAATCTGACAATCTTTTTTTTTTTTTTTGAGACAGAGTCTGCCTCTGTCACCCAGGCTGCAGTATAGTGCCACGATCTCAGCTCATTGCAACCTCTTTCGCCCCCAAAATTCAAGTGATTCTCTTGACTTAGCTTCCTGAGTAGCTGCGACTACAGGCAAGCACCACCACACCAGGCCAATTTTTGTATTTTTGGCAGAGGCAGAGGTTTCACCATGTTGGCCAGGCTGGTATCAAACTCCTGACCTCAAGTGATCCACCTGCCTTGGCCTCCCAAAGTGCTGGGATTACAGGCGTGAGCCACTGTGCCCACCCAGATCTGACGATCTTCTTAAAGGTGCTAGAGATGAAGCTCCATGAGGGCACAGGCTGTGTCTCGCTTGTCTTTTTATGTTAGCTCATCACATGGGCCTGGTATCATGAATGAATAAGAGCCAACTAGAAGAGCTGACATAGATCACGTTAGCCCCTGGGCTAAGCACTTCCGGGCATCAATTCATTCACTCTTCACAATATGTGAGAGGTACAATTAGTATCCTGGTTTCTGAGTGAAGAAAATAAGGCATAAGAGAATACAGAACTGCCAGTCAGTCTTCAATGGCTCGCCTCTCCACTCCAGAGCCACCCTGCTTTGTGACCGTAGAACTGGCGGCACGTTAGGTCTTGTCAACAGAGGGCACCAGAGGGACGCCGCAGGGCCACAGCCTGGGGAGGTCCCTTCCTGTGCAGGGGTCTGGTCCTCCATTGTTCATGTTCATTGTAGGAACTCAGGGGGCCAGCTTGGTGGAGTTCCAGCTGCATGCTCAGGCCATAGTGATCTTGCAGGTAGCTGCTTCTACAGACAAGCCCTGGCCCTCACCTTTTGGAAAGTCGTTTGCTTCCAGCAGGCTGCGTGTTCTTAATAAAATGAACTGAATCCCCACCTGGGGGTGGGGTGGGATGGGGTGAGGGGCCTTCCTCCTCCCTCCTTCCTTTAGCATCCCCTCTCCCTTAGCAAAAGGTAGTGGCTGCCTCTGTGCACCTGCTACTTCTGTACCCCTTAGACGCCTCTTTTAGTAACTAACCATCTTCTAAGAGTTAACAATTCTTTACATTAAATTTTCCCTGGATATAGTACAGGCAGGGTAATGTAGTGTATCAGATACAGAATTGGCCAGTATTGTACCACTATGAAGTGATAAACCTGAGTTTCAAACCCAGGAGTCTCCAGAGTATATGCCACAAACTCATATGCTACACTGTCACAAACCTTTGGGATAAAACTGGAGTTAACACTGTCTGCAGTCTGAATACTTCTAATGCTGCAGGAGGTATTTCCTTACCTAAGAGTTTCATTCCTTGCAATAATGAGAACTGCAATATCACGGTAAGGTGCTCAATTTCATCTCAGGTATGGCATGGATTAATACCAAATGACCCTAAATTTTAATTTTTCAAATCACTTTCACATGCAGGATTTCACCTGCAAACAACTTTGCAGAGTTGATAAGGCACATGTTATTCTTTCTATAGATAAAGAAACTGAAACTTACAAATAATAGAAATTTGCATGGTGAGTGGTAAGCGAGTCTCCCTAAACCCATCCAGAATTTTGTCTATAATATCACTGTCTTTGGGGTTTAGTTGCTCCCGAGTCAATTTGACTGGGAGGAAGAAAAAGAAATCCCGAAAAGATCCTACATCATAATCCTTGGAACTGTGAATGTTGCCTTATTTGGAAAAAACAACGGGGTGGTGGTGGTGCAGTTGTGATGAATTAAGGATCCTGTGAAAGGAGATTATCCTGGATTATCTGGGTATGCCCCAAATGTCATCGTAAGTGTCCTTATAAGAGATGAGGAGGAGACTTGCACACACAGAAGATGGTGATGTGAAGACAGAGAAAGCAAGGCAGAAATTGCAGTGATGCGCCCGTAACCCAAGGAATGCCGGCAGCCTGCAGAAGCTGGAGGAGGAAAGACAAGAGGCAACAAGGTATGACTTTCCTTGGGAGCCTCTGG